CATGTCAAATTTAGAACAGTACCTCTGCTGTTATGCTACAGCTTCTCAATATACCTGCAGCTTACCTTCCTAAGACTTAATTTCTTATAATAACTACATTATTCCTTGACAGGGGTCTTGCTGATGTACGCTAACTTGGTTAAAACCCTGCCTTCACCATTGGGCCTCAAGTACATAATATACCAGAGGCAGACAAGTTTTTGGCACATATCATAAAATTGCACCAACAGGTTGAGAACCAATAACAAGTATACTAACAGCTTTAAGCGGTTTTCTGATAGGTAACACCATGCAGCTTCTGATTATCAAGCAGATGACTTGTTAATGGTGAACACCAAGAACCTTCACCTTCAGGTACCGTGTTATAAATTGGCCTTTAAACAATATGTACCATTTCCTATCAGCAAAGTCTTAGATAATAGATCATTCCATGTGGATTTTCCAACTAATTGGAAGCTCCACACCTCCCACCACGCCTCCTCTTTATCCCCCTCCAAAGGACAGAAGCCCATGGAGGTACATTTTATTATATTGTGGAGTGCATTTGAATTTTAATTTGATCAGATCATAAAATCCTGAAGATAAAAAAGCAGTTTACAGCTTTAGTGTTGTAAAAGATTCCCATCCTATGAATATTGTTAGGATTTTACCAGGGAATGTACAAACTGTCAGGAGTGATTGCAGTGTTTTATAAGGTCACCCTAAGGTACCATCACCTCCCTCACCCAAAGATGCCACCCTCGCAGCCTTTAACTCCCCACCCCATATAAAAAGTTATGCCTTGGCCAAAGCCCCTGAAAAAGAATAGCCATTATTCTTATAGGGGAAAACAATGTAAGGCCTGCGGCACCTGCTATCAAGTTGGACAGGGTCATGCACCCTTATGGGTCAAAAAAGGGCTCCAACCCCAAGGCTCTATTACTTTCTCAGATTTCAGATCTAAGACACACTCTGGTCAAAAGATGAGTGCTGATGTTCCTCCCTGTTTGCCATGCTCCTCTCTGCAACCCATTCTCCACCAAAACATATCATGATCTCAAAATATGTAATGTTTTACATAAGAAAAATCATACAATATCTGTGCAGACTTAATAAATTTTAGAAAACCCACATCATGGTCCCTTGACTAATCTCAAATAAGTGGATCAATCATGGGCCATATTGAATGTAAAAACCTGATACCTGGGGCAACCCTAGTTGGAATAAATTATCTAAGAAGTCAAAATTGGTGGTTTGTAAGAAAATAAAGGTCATAAATGGGATCAAACCTGTCACTAAATCATAAACTTGTCAAATTGAAGTATCTTTTTTGAAGCTTACCAAAACAATTTTAAGAATAGTGTGGGGATCTCAGATGACTTTGGTACTGTGGAGAATTGTTTAGCCTATAATTTTATATCATTATTGAATTCAGAATTAGCGTTTGAGACCAAGGTTTTTATCTTAGTAATCCTCTCTTTAGTACCACATAAGGATATATATCTTGTTAATGGTGGGGTGTTAAATTAAGGTTTATTGTATTTCCTATAAAAATTATCTTAAAAAACTTATTATTTTAATATTCTAGTTAAGAAATGAACAGTATCTTTAATTATTATGGTATTAGAAAAGGCCTTTCCAATGTTGCTATTTAAAAAAGACTAAGATGAAAACTTTTGCCCATCATAATAACTATTGTTGTTCCTCTAAATACTATAAACATACATACTTCTCTCTTACCCCAGCATAGCACTCAAACCCTCTTGTCCATTTACCATGAATTCACCCTTCAAGACAGATTATCACCATGCAGTCTGGAGCTATTGTCAGGGGCTTCAGGTACTTGCTTACAGTCCAGTTTTCTCTCATCTCACTTCCATCCTAACAAATTCAATAAGTCTATAGGTTCTTTCTAATCTTTTGGTGGTTATTTACATGATTAAATAGTATATTTACTATTTATATCTATAGATGGCTATCTTAAAAAATATAAGAGCTAACACAAATTTAAAGATTTTTTATATTAACATAAACAATGCTAAAAATTCATCTATTATCAATAAAAATGCTCACCTTCATGCTTAAAATAGTTTGCAACAAGTACTAGTATAATTTTAAATATGCAGTACTAGCATATTTTATTTTATATGATGTAAGTTTGAATCTATTTTAATTTGAAATCTATAGTTATTAAAATTTATTAAAAAATATACATAACTGCAGTAACTGTAGTTAAGTTCAGTAAATAGTTTATCATCAGTTTTTATATTTTCTGATAATCTTTGGTCTACTAGATTGACTTTGATATAATATCACAATTAGTATATTATGCTTGAGTAAGATTTTAGTATAGTATTTCAATTACATATCAATAGCTATAAGCTACCTAGTTAGAAAGAATTTAAGTACAAACTAATACAATAGGTTATGAGGCTTATAAAGACTCTTTTGAATATAATTGTTCAGCCAATCTGATATTCTTGAATGACATTAATGTAAACTGTAACTTATATCTTGATAATGAAATTTAGAAACCTAGACTTATGGCATGGAAAGATTATATACAGTTGGTAAAAGATTAGATAACAATGTATTTTTACCTTACCTCATCATCCACTAAATTTTACCTGTTTACATTATCAAGAGATACATAAATATAGATAAGCTTTTAACAGAATAAAAAACTATATGCAGGCAGATCTACAAGCGTTTTAGAGAATCTCTATAGTTAAGGACTTGGTCCAACAACCCTAAGTTGAGCAAGGTGAGAAAATATCAATTTTATTCTTAATATAATATAAGATAAACTGCATGTGTTTAAGTAAGAATCTAAAGCCAAAGATTCTGATTAACCTATGCTTGGATGCACTTGTTATTAAGTTTGCTGTATATTAAGTGTGAGTAAAGTTGTAAAAAGCTAATGAGATTGAGGAGTTATTCTGTAATAGTCTTTAGTTATCGTAGATTACTTATTTAATATATAAAAGAAAATTTATTAGTATAGATCAACTGTTAGTAAAGCTAGACTTGATACATCCAATAAAATAGGGAAAATTTAATTCATCTAAACAACAAAAAACTATATTAAACTAGTTATTAGAGCATTACAATAATAATTAAACTAAAGTATACAAATTATATATGCATCCAATTTTTAAAAACTTTCTCCTTACTTTATATATTAAATTAATTTTACCAACCATCTTATTATTATTTTTCAAACTTTTATTCTCAATAATATTAGATACAGGGATCAATTGATTATTATGAATGATTGAGGCCACAACCCACCTCTTTATATATATTCACTAAAAAGATATACTTTATTAATGAATAATCTGTGGGGCTCTTTATTTTGTACAATTTATGTTGGTCAATCAAATACTTAATACTTGCTGATGTAATCTTCATTTCATATCTACTAATTATTAAAGCCATGGCCTTAATGTCCCTAGCGCCCTTTATAATACTTTGATACTCTTTTAATCCACTCCAGCAAAAATAGTCAATAATAGGATCCTATTATAAGTATGGCCATCCACCAGAATTTCATTGGCAATTGGCATATTAACTTTTATAAAAATAATCTGATCCTAAATATTTGCTTCACAGACCTAAATTGGATATTATGCCTCTATTTTCTAGGCATAAGTGCTTCTTGGTAGTCAGAAATTTCATCAATAAAATCCTGGTAATGAGAAGAGCTTATCTGAGAAAGATGGTCATATGGAGGGGGATTTTTTAGAGGGGAGCTACGTTCAGTCTACCCAAAGAAGAGTACCAGGAACAAGCCTGTTAGCTGTTGGAAGTAGTAGACAATACAGTGTGCTCATTTGTTGCAAAATAAGCCCTATTACTGGTATAAAGGGTTAATTATCCTTATGTTACACTGGTTACTGTCCTTAACAGTACCTGGTTTTTTGTGTGTAAATACATTTGTAGTTAAAATAAAATGCTCTGGTGCCAAAATTGATATCTTGTATAAGTTTTTAGATGCAGTATAAACAATAACTTTAATAGATGTATTTTATATTAAATAGCTTTTAACATGTTTCACTACCCATATATCTATCTGAGGTAAGCCAACCAGTGAACAGAAACTACCAAAACTGCAATCTACTTAATAAAACATATTAACTGACTGATGTACTGAATGACATCTGAAACCTTTGAGTCTGATAGGCTCAATCAATTTGGGTGAGTGGGTTAAAATTACCAAATATTATTGAATCTGAAACTATCAAGTCTGATAGGATAATCTATTTTGAGTGAGTTGGTGGGAATTGGCAAATATTATTCATTAATTCACCAGCTTGCTTGCCCAAAACTAAACAAAAAATCATATAGAGTTTAAATTAGATAATAAATAAACTTAGGATAACCAGCTCACCAGACATGAGAGCAACAGCAAAGCTGTTAGTTGAGTGGCTCAAGCATAGTATTGGCACAGCCTTTAGGCTATGTCAGTGGAGCTCATAAAACTGAGCAACGCTGGGTAATTCCACTTTCTTAACATTCTTAGTATAAAAGCTAAAATAAATGATTATAATTTTTCAGTTTTAAAGGAACTGGATCAAATTTGATCTTTGAGCTTTACATAGCATAACAGGGATGGGTTATGGGTATAATAAATTATTAACCCAAGCAATGCTGGGTAAATTAGCTAGTTTTAAAATTAATTTTGATTTAAACTCCATGAGGTAAACTTCAGTCAATAGAAGTATTCTAATCTCTTTGGGATGGTCTAGATTATATCTGACAAGGTAAATGTTCTAGCTATTTAGCTTAATTCTCCATTAATAAGATTTTATGACTGATACCCCAGTGTGTGTGGAGGATAGATTCAAACTCATGCATCTATAGTGATAACTAGATATAAGGCTGACTATGTCACCATCCCTCTCATATTTCTCTATTATATATTCCCAAGTTACATAAAATTAACATTATTCAAACTAATATCATTGTTGTATCAAGAAAACTAATGTGTAATACTAGTTTATGCTTACAATTAAATTAATGCATTGTTGGTTTAGTGGTATAATGGCCGCCTCCCACGCGGCTGACCCGGGTTCGATTCCCGGACAATGCATATATATAATTACTTTTTGGTCAAAAAATTACAATGCTAAAAGTTTTCCATGCTTTGATTTGGTGAGGAAAAAGAATCAATTTTTTGCTTAGATGCTGCACTTACAATCCAACCTCTAAATAATTTCTAGCGAGGTGATTTTGCAGCACGTGCAGCATCTTTGAAACTAACCTTTAAATAATTTCACATATCGCTATAATTAAAGGATGCATCTCATTAATTGTGCTAGACCAATAAGTTCAAATTAAAGATTTTTTTAGTACTAGATGGTAGTTCAAATTAAAGATTGATTACTAATTTGAGTGATTTGAAAAGCTAAATTAACGCCATTTTTGTTGATCTCCTGAGAAAAATAAATGCAAAGTAAAGGAGCGTATGAGTAAATAAAATGTTTATCTTAAAGGGATAGTACCGATCTTTCATTTCTAGAAGTAGACTCATACTCTGAAGGTTCAATCGCAGATGTGGGATCCGAAGATGGATTTTGAGTTTTGTTAAAGTGGAGAGCAGCCAAGTATGGGTATCGGGTTTCAGCTCCGAGGATGAGATCGCATGAACTGGGTATGGGTTATTAATGAATTTAATCAGCTCATCGGACTCTTTCGTAAAACAAGCTCTCATGTAATCCGCAACCTCAATATTCCTTTTGAGTGATTCAACTAATGGCTCATTCGGTAACAAAGGATGGCCAAGCTGTGACTAGGCTGAGGCGTACAGGTGGTAAGGGTCGACTACTCCATCTTCTTGCGTCCACATTGTAATATTATTTGATGGCTAAGCCCATCTCTTTCCATGCAAGATAGTCGTTGGGCCTGGTAATCAAATAACTCCGAATGTGAGTTAGTGAAGCTAGTTGAACAAACAATAATACCATAGATGTAGTGTAAAGCTCGTACCATTTAAATTCCCAGCGAGCGAGAACACTTGGGCCTCGAGGAAGAGTTGCCCAGGCTCAGAAGCCCCCTTGGCCAACTTCAGTATGCGCAAAGATCAACTTGAAGGATACCTTCCAGCCTTCAACCAACCGAAGCGACTCCGAGTACTCGCCAAGCTGAAGCTGAGCTCAAATAAAAATTTCCACCAACTCCTTGGGGTGGTTGACTTTGATTTGGCTTAGATCCTTTAAAAATCGCTGCCAAGTTCCACTACGCACCAGTAATTTATTCGCAGGTAGTGGTGGTATTCCATGTGATGTTTGATCTTGGATCCGGCGTTTCTCCTCACCCGGATACGATCCGCCACGGTTTTGTTATCCGCCAGAAAATACTACTAATTCCAAAATTAAGTCATCAAACATGGAATCAAATTCAAATTCCCACTTGTTTTTCTCAAAATACACAATTAAGATATAATCTTTCATCTCTCATCTTATCATTTACTTTAAATAACGATATGGAGTTTAATAAATCTTAAATATACACACGGCGCTGCCTAGAAAAGTTCTCAACCTAAGTTTAATTTTATTTGGAATAGGATGAGCTAGAAACCACCATCAATATCCATCTCAACTTAGCCTAGCCTTTCCCATTGTATTTTTCTTCAGAAGCATCAAATAAAAGTAATTCGAATTAATGCAAAGGCGGACTCAAGACAAATTATTTAACTCAAGTTAAAATGTAACACTAGCCGAATGCTTTTTCAAATACTGATTCCATTACAACTAAAAGTATCAATCCAATATTTAAATTCGTAAGGAATTTTATTGAAATAGAAAATATCACTTAATACCTTCTCTCCTCTAAAGGGCCGGAACTCTTTACATCTTCGAACAAATTCTTCGCGCTCTTTTCTTTTCTCCTCCAAGAGTTGAACGTCAAATGCTTCGCATTCCGAATCGCTTCCAAAATCAAAATGCTCGTCAAACAACCCGATATCCATCGTATGAAATTTTAAAGCCTAGTAATAGCGGCTAAATAAAGGGTTAGCGTACTACCAATCCAGATCGGTTTTTATATTAACTCAGGTATGCAGCAGGCTTTCTAACTAAATTAGCCCAAGTTCAAGTGCCCACGCTTCCAACGCAATTGGCAAAATCTACATATGCTTCCATCTTTAAAATTAATACTTGTTATTTAAATCGGATTCAAACACCAAGTATTATTTACACGAGGTATACACTGCCTAAGTGCACCACAGTCCAAATCCTTACAAACCTCCTTTTGAAGTTTCGAATTGCACTTCAAAAATAGCAGGTATTCTCTCGAAGTTACTTTGGTGGACTCTCCAAAAAACAAAAGCTAAATATGTAATATTAGTTATCAACTCATGAAAAAGACTTAATTTTTTATTATCGGAAAAACTTGATATTCATAGGTTTTGTAGAGGCTTGCCTTGGATCTAATCTTTTCAACCTCCGAGAGATCAACTCTTCTGATAATACTTGATTGGGATAAGCGTAATCGTGTTTATAAGACTTGTTGAGAACAAATTCACTAAACTCCCCCAGCAACCAGCAAAAAAATATTTGGGGTAATAGATTCTGGGACGGAAGGAGTTGGCAAAATCCTGACACTTCCCCCAAGATTTGATCACGGAGGAGGATGAATCCTCAGAAACCTAGGATGAACACGATTTACAATGATACCAGTCTCAGTATGATCAATCAAGTACTCAAGCCCTCTCCCAAAAGTTAATCGATAAGGACCCAACCAGTTAGCTTCCAATTTATCCATTCACCCACCAGGCCAAGAATGATAGTACATAATATAGTCTTCAATATGATATTCGGGTAAAGTGGGCTTATGTTGATTACTCCTAAGGATCTCCTTTTTGGTGGTTACTTCAATTGACTCCATTGCTTGAGCCTGAAGGTAAATAATCTCATCGGCCAGATTTTGCATGACTAAATTGAAATTTTTTAGAACACTCTCATCCACTATTGCCTGGACACTCAAGGGAATAGAGGGGTCTCATCCATAGATACGCTTAAAAGGTGATATCTTAACATGATGGCAACTAATTTGGTAAGCAAACAAAGCACTATGCAAATAATAAATGTCCATTGAAATGGGTCAGAAGAGGCCAAATTTTCTTATATAAAGAGACTAAGGTTACATTGACCTGCTTAATAGCCCTATTAGTTGATGGGTGATAGGGAATGACAAACTGTTGAGCAGTATTAAATAATTTAACAGCTCCTGTAGAAGTTCTGAGGTGAAATTAGTCCCAATGTCTGACATAAGAACCTTGGGAAACCCATACTGAATGAAGATTTGCCAGTAGAGGAACAAAGCAGTTGTCTTAGCAGAGGGAGTGGCAATGGATATGGCCTCAACCCATTTAGTTAAATGATCAACAGCCATAATAATGTACTGGTGCCCATGCAACCCTTGAGGAAAGGGCCTAATAACATTGATACTCACCACTTCAAAAGCCTTGGGTGATGGAATCACTTGATGTTGGTAAACAGGGTTGGAGGCTCCCTGGCTTTTACAGGTGAGGCATGTATCAAGAGCCTCTTTGATAGAAGCAGACATATCAATCCCATAATATCTGGATTTCAACTACTTATGAATATTTTTTAGGCCACTATGACCCACTTGACCTTGCCCTTCAATACAGCAGTAAACCATGAGTTTGGATACAAAAAGGGTAACCATTTAGAGTTGGCCTTCTTATACAAAAATCCCTCTTGTATCATGATATTATGGTTAATGGCTTTAAATATAGGCTCAGTCTGCTTCACATTTTATCCCACAGCTCAGGTCAGCCATTAAGGTCATATAATTGCCCCTTCTTTTGGGGATCTAAAAACAATACAGGCAGCTGGTACAGGCCATTAGCATTTTAATGCTTGATAACTGAGTGATAAACAATTAAAATTGTAATTCTGTAATCACAGGGCCCAACAAGCTAACTGCCCATCTGGATCCTTCATATTTTGCAACCATTTTAGAGAATAATGGTTGTAACAACAGAGAAGTGGTTATCATATAAGAAGGGTCAGAAGTGTTTGATCACTATAATTACAGCTAGGCATTTCCATTCAGTCACACTATATTCTTACTCAGCCTTAGATAAGGTTTTGCTGTAGTAGGCCATAGGATGGTCAATTTGATTATTGTCATACTGAGACAGGTTTGCCCCAATGGCAACATTACTTACATCATTATGCAGAATAAATGGCTTATCAAAGTGAGGATAGATCAAAACAGACGCTCTAGTTAGAGCAGTTTAGAGAATTGAAGGTTTGCTTCTGGGCAGATCCCCACTCAAAAGTTACTCCCTTTTTTAATAAATAGAATAAGGGCTCAGCTGTCAGCAAAATTAGGTATAAATTGTTGGTATCACCTGACCATCCCTAAGAAGATCTATATATCATGCAAAGAGGCCAGAGAAGACATTTGGCTAATAGCCTTACTTTTGACTGGTAGGGGTTAAATCCCTTATCTTAAACCTCATGCCCTAAAAAATTTATTTCACTCTGAAAAAAGGAACATTTTTGATGGTTTGAGCTTTAATAAAGAATTCCAAATTTGGCTAAAACCTTCTTGTGCTTGGTCCAAATATTTGGTAAAAGTCTTCAAAAACATGGTAATATGATCTAAATAACCAAGACGCAGATTAAATTTAAACCTTGGGGCATTCCATCCATGGCCCTCTGAAAAGTAGCTGGAGCATTTATCAACCCTTGAGGCATATGGGTTAGTTCATTCAAGCCCACATCAGAAATCAAAGCACATTTGACCCAGTCTTTGGGAGCCAACTTGATCTGCCAATGACCACTGGCTAAATCCATTGCAGAAATTATGTGGAGCCAGAAAGCAGATGGAAGGAATCATCAAATTCTTGATAAAGGATAGCTATATTGATGAGTGACTTCATTTAACCTATGATAATCCATAACCACCTGGTGCAAGCCATCTTTCTTCTTTAGCACTAAAAATGTAGAGGCCCAGGCACTATTAGAAGGTTTCAATAATCCATCTTCCAATAATTTAAACAATTCCTTGATGACCTGAGCCTCCTCAATCTTTGACTTCTGATAAGACTTATCCCAA